CCTCTTCGATGAAAGGCTTAAAGACTAGGTCTGACCGTCGTACATGTCCTGGAGGCGAGAGCCACACAGGTTGCCCAGGAGTAACGTAGTTACCCACGACCATCGACCAGGAGTTGATGTGAAGTCTCACATCCTCCTAAGTGTCCAGAAACCCGTCGACTGGCGGAGTATCCTCGATCACTCCTTGATTATTTTTGTCCCAGTCGACTCGACTCAATCCGTCTGCTCTATTCTTACTTCCTGGAATTCGCTCTAATTTAAAATCGAACATCCAGATGTATGTTAACCACCTGGCGATAGTCGGGTCTGATGGAGCGAATTTTTTGAGAGAACCGGCTAGAGCAGTTGGGTTCACCCTCAACACGAACCTACTGCCGAAGAGGTAGTTTCTAAAGATCCTTAAGCAATGGAGAACCGCCAAGGTTTCGCGCTTAAACTGAGAGTAATTTCTCTGAGTTGTGTTAAGCGTGCGACTTTCAAACCTTAGTGGCCGCTTCTCTCCGTTAAGGTCTTGCTGAATCAACACACCTCCTAGCGCAGTTGGCCTTGCATCAGTCTCTACAATAAAAGGTCTGGTCATTACCGCCGAGTGGTCCGGTACTCCCAGTACTAGACCCCGTTCTTCAAATTCCTTCTTTAGGCCCTTTATTACCAACTCCTGCTTATCTCCCCATTCCCAGTCTTGTCCTTGGCGCACGAGCTTTCGAAGTTGCTCCGTCTTTGCCGCAAACCCTTTTATGAAGATCCTCCAGAACCCACATGTTCCGAGGAAACTTCTCACCTCCGTAATAGTCTCGAATGGGGTTGGCCATTCGAGAATCTTATTGGTTTTCTTAGTGTCTGGTCGACGACCCCTCTCGTCGCACACAAACCCCAAGATGGTGGCCCCGCTCATGCAGTGCCTCGATTTAGACCCACTTGCAGTAAGGTATGCTCCTTTAGCAAGTCTAGGACCCTGCACAAGTCTTGCACATGGTTCCAGACAAAGCGTCTAATCCCTGGCAATACCTCCTGCTCGTTCTTCTTTTTAGGCCCTTTTACGGCCAAATCATCAATGTAAGGTTGAGTAATGTGAGGCCTTACTGGCTGCATTGCCCTCACCATGTGCCTCTGGACCATGGCGACTACATTTGTCCACCCCTGCAGTGCGACGTTCATATGAATTAACCCTCGAGGGTTATGCATTGCCGTCATCGGCCTGTCAGAGGGGTAAACAGGAAACTGGTCGTAACCAGAATATAAGTCTATGAGAGATATGATGGCTCTCCCAGCGCATGCCTCTGAAAGCGCATCTGCGTTAGGGAGACCACCTGCATCTCTCACAGTTACAGCATTCAGGCGCTGCAAATCCTGTACCCACCTCAAGGTCCCGTTTGGTTTGACGAAACAAAACCAAGGGGATGCATATGGCCCACTCGAGTAGTCTGATACGTGCGTACAAATTTTTCCATCAAGGTAGGTAACTACCTTTTCTTCATCAGCAGGATTAGGATAGCGCGCACCCCGCAAGTTCCATGGTTCGTGGGGAACGGTATGTATCCTAATCATCGGGATCCTATCCACATCCAGACGGCCCCGTTCATCATCATTGAAGGCATATGCAGTATGCCTTCCTCTTATGGTTTCCACCATAAGCTTCTCCTCTTGCGCCGTAAGGAAGCCGGACTCCCCTATAATCAGCGTTTTTTCTGTCTCAGGAGTGATACGACATGGCCCATTCTGTGCGTCCTCTCGCATCTGCCGTATCAACTCTCGTTCCCGCTCGTAATAAACTTCTTGTTCCTCAGTCACGAGCACAGGAACAGGGCGGCATTTTTTATCTACTCTTTTGTACCGCCTTTGTGACCCTTGCTTGAGCCCACCCCTAAAAAAGGCCGAATTGCACTCAGGGGTTGGGCTCCTGCCGATCCTCCTCTCTTTCCGGACGTCCGATACACCAACTCCACCTCTCCTTCCCCCATCTGTTCCATCACCTTTTCTCTCAAGGCCTCTACGGCCTCCATGTCCGCCATCCCATAGGTTGACACTATCTCCATAGCATCGCCTATATTGGTCAGGCTAAGAGTTAGTATTTCCGGATTCCTTTCTTCTTCAAACTCATCTCCTCCTAGCCTCTTCCTTTCTTCTTCCGATTCCTCAATCGTGAAAGAGTCAGGATTGGGCCTATTCCTTATACTTCGTGGCCCCGTATTTTTGCATGTGATAACCTCATAGTTGTCACATACCAGGTCACATAAGACGAGGAACATTGTCCCATCATGCTTATTCAGTATGACGGTCTCCGTTCGGCTCAAAAAGGATCGGCCCAATAGGATGGGATGGTCGGGATCGGGCATCACAAAGAAACAGCTTCTCACTTTAACCTTGCCAATCTCCAAAACCACTCTCGATGCGGTCCCTATGAACACAGACCGACTATTC